TGGTTTTGCAAAACGATGGGAGCTGGGAGATTTGCGCTTCAATGATGTTCGTGAGGTACATATTTACTCTTGTAATGCCGATATTGTCTCCAGTAGGACTGAATCGATTCTTGCAATGTGTATAATTTTTTGTTGATTCATGAACTATAACATTTTTCTTGGCTCAATAGCTGGTTAGCCGCCTCACAAATCCCGAGTATGGAATGAGCATACGCAAAAAGATAAACGATAACAAAGTGCACAAGGAAATCTTCGATTATGGCGCACAATTTATGGGCGAAGATGATGCAGGCACCTCGCATACAGTGGTTCTGGCGCCCAACGGCGATGCAGTCTCGGTGACAAGTTCCGTTAACGAATAGTCAGTATTATGCAATACTGCTATCGAAGGTTTTTTGAGTAGTTTCTTTCTATTTTGCTTCCAGTTTTGGTGCCAGTCAGGCAGGGCGACGTACCGGTATTGTGTTTAACAGCGGCATGAATGATTTCTCTGTGGAAGGTACATCTAATAATTTTGGTCTGCCGGCGGCGCCGAGCAATTTCATTGATGCTCGCAAGAGACCTATGTCGTCGATGTCGCCAATGATTTTGGCCGATCGTAAGGGTAACGTTCGTTTAGCGTTCGGCGCTGCTGGTGGCTCGAAAATCATATCGAGTGTTATTGAGGTAGCGGCGCGCTATTTGTGGTTTGGACAGGATATAAAATCGGCGATTGACGCGCCGCGCATCCATCATCAACTCGTGCCCAATACGTTGCAATACGAGTTTGGCCGATTTAGTGAAGTAAGTGGGCTTAGGTAAAGGTAAAGTTTTATAATAATCCATTGTGTAATATTCGTAGGAGATCTTACTGCTGCTAAAGGACAAGGGGCATGAGTTAAAACCCTTCAAGGATATTGGTTCCGCCGTTTGCGCTATCGCACAAAATGACACCGCGATATATGCAAACGCGGACTACCGAAAACGAGGTGGCGTCGCTGGCTTTTGAGACCACAACTGTTTTTAACTGTCAACGTTTTTTAGCATAAGTGTGTGCTAAGTCCAAAATATATAAAAGATACGAGATTATTTATTAACTACAACCAAGTCAATGAAACATGTTTACATACTTACATATACACGAACTGCAAAATTCGAAACAATCGCAGCAGCCATTTTTAAGCTGTATATTTTAATATTTGCATATACATATATATGTATGCATAATTGCATTAGGTAATTCATATGCAAAAATAACAAAAAAAGCACTCGAGTACTCCACTCCGAGCTTTGAACATTTTGGACACTTTGTAAATTGCAGTATTGGATTTATATTGGTAATTCGTATTTTTTTAAGTATTATTTTTAGCATTATTTCATATCATGTGCATACATACCTAAATACATACCAATCTATTACATAATATATACACGATTACCGAGATATTGCTGAATTCCAAACACAATTAGCCAACCAATGCAGGAATGCGTATTTATCTACATATTGAAGCAGTATTGCTATAAGCCACCTTATAAAATGCATTGTTTTCAAAAACTTTAATAAAATAAATAGACGAAAAGCTTTAACTTCTACAAATTTATAATCAAATATACTTTATAAATTGATCATAACAAAAGATCCCTCTGCAACCGAATTTTATTTGAAAGGTAATGTAATATATTGTATATAAATGATTAAAAGTTAAATTGGAATCATAGCTAGTATGTCTATAGCAATAATTGACCAACATCATATAATTATGCTCTATTAATAATGACTGTCCTCAGTAGAAGTCTTTTCCATTTTTCAAAAATAATTATTTTAAAACATACTATGACAATAAAAGTAAAGAAAAAGGGGATCGCTTATTTACCAATGAATAGCCTACATTTTTCATATTATTCACAAATTTTGAGGAGAAATTTTACAATTGTTAATTTTAAAAATAACATTTTCGCCAACTTAAACGGTTTATAATCATTATACAGGTTGTATTGAATTGGCTGATTGAATTAATTTTGACATTGTTCAGGTATACTTTAGAACATATTTTCAAGCAATTTTATAAATAAATAAATCACACACCGACCGATATGTTAGGCATAAAATTTGTTAGAATAAAGAAAATCATTATTTGTAATATATGGGGATCGGGGTAATTCGTAGACGAAATTCGTATATTTTGCGCATTAAACTATGGTATATCTAATATTATACGTTCAGCAAATTTTGTTATTAATTAATTAGATTAGATTAGAATGAATATGAGGTTTGCACTGCGACCCAGGGTCTATTGTGCCCTCTCCTCCATCACATGCTTTCCCAAAGTCCCAGCACCCTAAAAAACTCCAACAACTTGCTGGGTGCTATTGAGGCAATGTGATCCCTGTTCATATAAGTGGAGCCTAGGGCCTTGAGCCTGCGTCTACAAATTGCGGGGCAATTTAGAATCAGGTGTTCTGGTGTTTCCAGCCCCATGTCGCAGAATCGGCAGTTGCCACAAGAAGCCATGCCCATGCTTGACAGGTGTTTCTTGAGCCTACAGTGCCCAGTGTAGAGTGCGACTAGGAGTCGAAGTTTGTCTCTGGTGAGGTTTATCATTATTCTGAACCTGGCTAGGTTGAACCCTCCCAGTAGCAGTTTGGCATGGCGCATCCCTGCAGCCTGTTGCCAGTGACTGTCTCAGTTCGCTCCCTCCTCCATACGGAGCAGCTCCTTTATTGTATGAGGCCCTACCGCAATGCATGGTTCTGGCCCCCTCATTCTGGTAGCAGCCGCAGAGCGGGCGAGTTCATCTGCCAGCTCGTTACCGGCTACCCCTTTATGCCCCGGCACCCAGATCAGGTGTACACGGTTGCAAGCTGATAGGCGGTTAAGCCATCCTATACACTCCTCCACTAATAGCGATCGAGTCTCGTAGGCCGATATCGCTTTTAGCACCGCTTGGCTATCGCTGAGTATTGCGATACTCTTATTACGGTAGTTGCGTTGGAGATTTATTACTGCACACTGACTAATGGTAGTAGTACTTCTGCCTGAAAGATGCTTGGAAAACAGCCCATGGGAATGGAAAGCTTGGTATGCGGTCCCGCAATGCCAGCTCCAATTCCTTCTGGTGTTTTAGAGCCGTCAGTGTACCACTGAATAGTGCATATATATTGATATTCCTACATCTATATATATATGTATATATTTGCACGCTATTAGCAGAATAAAATGCTCCCGGAGTTGCATTAAGGTACCTCACATACCATCACCATTATATGTGGAGTAAAGTAAATCGGTAGTTCGAAAATCTGATATAATATTAGTTTTATGAGGGCTTAAGGCAAGTTTTCATTCCATTTCATCCATTTTGGACACAAAGATGCACTGTATTTGAAAAAAAACTATTTTTCATTTTTATTATAATAACTTATATGTTGGCTAAAATTTATGGTATAAACTCAACCGGAAGTTCAATTATCTTTATATTAGGAATATGGGGGCTAAGGGAGGTATTGATCAATTGAGTTGGTCCGGAGATATGTGATTTCACTTAAAGGTGAGCGCTTCCACGCCCATCGTTCAATTCTGACCTCGGTTCCTATGAAGCCCTCTCATAAAATTCAATATTGCTGAGGCATTTAGTTAATGATTTATCGCACTTTTAGTATTTTTTAACAAAACCGTTATTTGAAGAGTGGACGCAGTTATAATTCAACTTCAGCTATTTTCACACTGTCGTAAGAGGTGTCAAAAGTATTTGTTCTGTCCAAATTTAATAAGGCTTGCATTGTATGGGGATAAATATGACGATATAAAATATGATGTGGACGTGGGAGTGGTGCTATTACACTCATATACAATTATAAACTTTTTATGATGGCAAAAAACATGTGTACCAAGTTTTATCGAGATATCTTAATTTTTACCTAATTTTTTATATAGGTATAACGCTATATCTATCTCGATACGTTTTATGTAATACATACAACCATTTGGGGAACAAAACTATTATCCTCTGTAGCAACATGTTGCAAAAGTATAAACATTTTAACATTTATTATAAAAATTGTGCGGCTGAAATCATGATGTTCAGCTATTTCTAATTCATCTATTTGTGGTGGTGTTTAATTTCAACTTATTAAGAAGAAAACTTGCTGTTGCTCGAGATATTTATTTTAGATTTATATTTTACAAATCAATGGCATTGCTTAATTCTGCCCCAGGCCTTAGGGTATTATTTAATACATTTTGTGTAAATTTGTCAGTTAGTTTACGAGAAAGTAGTCTTAGTAGCACGTCTACGCATACAGATCTGTCTTTGACACGGGTCCATTTACAAACGAATTTTCTGGTAAAAAGAGCAATTTGATTCCGTTAATATTTTGAGAGGGTAAACATGGGTGGCAAGGAATAATAATGTTTTTCGAATCAGCTCTAAAGGAATAGGTTTGGAACTGAACTTGGTTGTAAAGTGTTCTAAAATAGTGTTCAAATACTCAGCTGCTAATATTTTGAAGTTGAAGTAGTTTAACAAGATTATCTTCGCCTGGTAGCTTTTATCTCAATTAATAAGCGATATTTTGATTACAAATTGAGGTATCTTAATTTGGCACATGGTATCCGTTCGAGTAATAATCCCCTTGGTTATTAATTAGTAATATTAAAAAATAATAAATGTATTGTACGAAAACTATCAATGGAATAAAGTCAGGAATGTAAATTTTGACTACAACGAAAACACAGCAGATTTCCAAGGAGAAATTGCATGAATCACAAATTATCACTATTGTAAATATTATTATATTACTTTACTTTGCAATAGATAACTCAAACATCAATCGAATACGAAAAAAACTGCAGATATGTGGCAACTCTCATCTGAAAATGGTATATATGTTTTTACATTTTCTAGCTTCCATATAGAAAATACGAGAAACTTGTATTCTTTCTAATGGAATCGAAGTTATCAATCAACATGTCGGATATCTGAATTCATACCCATTAAGGTATGTTTTTCTGACCATAAAATGGTGTAAGTCCAAAAATGCATAAAATTGTCCCGACCACTCCTTGTCTACCTTATATCCGTTAGAATATTTTTCGTTATCCGATTGATTTTATACAGTACATCTTATTTCTTTTGACCAAAACTACGTTAAAAAAGTGCTATTCGAAAGCTTTATTCAACATAGTGTTTCAACACGCTTGATACCCAAGTCAAAGGTCAATATTTCAGACTTCCCTCCAGATAAAAATCTGGGTAACTAACAACAGCATTTTGGCAATCGAGACAAAACTCTAATAACTCTTTCACTATTAAACAACTCAAGAATATACGCCTCCCAAATACTATAGACAGCAGTGCTCCTCATTAAAATATTGAATGGGCCGTTTGATGCCGTTTGAGGCCGTCATCCGAACAAAGAATCATTTTATCGATTGCTAATATGACCAGCAATTTGACTTTGAAGAAGTAAATCGTTGGTCAATGCGCATGTCCCATATGTCAGGACATTTTCCGAAATTTGACATTTGCCGCTTATTAAACAGCCACAAAGTAAATATTGCTAGGAAGTATTTGTTTCGTTATTGCGCAACCCTGTAGATATCACGTTGTAGTGATGAATTTAATTCACGGCGGTGTGATTATACTAAGCGCTGTAGTATTTTTATTCTACAAACTATCCAAGCAACGGAACTCCTCGCTACAAAATAGTCAATTATTACGGCCGCCGAACCCGGAAACGCCGCAGCCACCTTCATTCTCACCACTACACGTGTATGAAAACGGGGCGGTCTGCTCTGACAGTGATGTCTGTAGTAGAATTGGCAGGTGATTTTTTACATTTCGAGGAAATATATATGTGTAAATGTGTTTAACTAATTTTTCAATGCAGAGATGTTATGCAAAAGTCGGGTGGCAGCGCAGTTGACGCCGCAATTGCTACACTCTTCTGCAATGGACTGCTGGCTATGCAGAGCATGGGGCTCGGTGGCGGTGTACTCATCAATATTTACTCAAGCAGCGAACAACGAAGCTACAGCATACTGAGCAGAGAACGCGCACCACTAGACTTTCAATTACCGAAGGGAAATGTAAGCACAATTTTCCAGTCGGCTTTGGGTATTGCAGTGCCTGCTGAAGTTGCCGGCTATGCGGTGGCCCATCAACATTTTGGAAAGTTACCTTGGCGACAACTGGTGGAACCGACCACAAAAATCTGCCGCCAAGGCTACACACTCACCAAACACCAACGGGATTCGGTGTATATCAATGGGAAACTGCTTAAGGAAAATGAAGTTTTGCGCAAAATGTTTGTAGACCCGAAAACAGGGCAAGTTTATAGGACTGGCGCGCACGTACGTCCACCAGATGTACTTTGTCGCACTTATGAAGCTCTTGCGCGTGATGGTCCCAGTGATTTTTATAATGGTTATCTGATGGAGAATATAGTAAAGGATTTGCGTGATTTAGGTAGTCCCATCGAAGAGGTGGACATGAGCAATCTGACGGCAGAGCTGACATTCTCACCCAATGTTACATTAGGTCCGTATACACTACATTTCACACCACCACCCGGTAGTGGTTATGTCGTGGGTTTTGTGATGAAGATTTTGCAGAAATTTAGTAAGAAATTTGCTAAGAAAAGTGACATTGATGCCAGCGGTATGCATCACATAGTTGAGGCGCTGAAATTTGGTTTCGTCCAACGTTGGAATCTGGATGTAGAGGTGCTAGAAGAGGTACGATGGTTATTGGTGCTCATTTGGGTATATGTTACATGTACATTACTTCTCCATATTTCGTAGGAGCTAACAAATCTCACGAACTCCTCATATGCACGTCATTTGGCCTATCTGATAGACGAAGAGCGTACCTTTAGGGATGCTACAAGTTATGGCGCCAGTGAGTCTCTTGTTACACGCGTAGAGTATGGTACAGCTCATATATCGGTTATGGCTTCGAATGGTGATGCTGTAGCCGCAACAAGTTCCATCAACTTTTAGTAAGTTAGCGTCATAATATCGGAATTATATTTAAGAATTAAAAAATAAAAACTTAACCTATAATAGCTTTGGCAGTGGCAAGATTGGCGCACGCACTGGTATTCTCTTCAATAACGCCATGTCGGACTTCACCATCGAAGGTCTTCAAAATTACTTTGATCTACCAAATATGCCGTATAAGAATCGTATTAAACCCGGTGCTTCGCCGATGTCTTCAATGAGTCCCATTATTGTTACCGATCAGCATGGCGTAGTGCGTTTAGTGACGGGCGCTGCCGGCGGCACGAAAATTATATCGGTTTTGGTACATATTTTGGTTCGCATACTCTGGTTGGAGCAAAATATTAAGCAGGCCATTGACGCACCTCGTTTCCATCATCAATTAGAACCGAATATGCTGGAATATGAGTATGGGATCTTGCAAAATGTGGTTAAGGTTTTGGAAGCCAAGGGGCATCGAACGATACGTTATAGGGAGCGTGGATCGGCCGTTTGTGGCATTGAAAAAGTTAGAGGCCAAATTTTTGGTAATGCCGACTATCGTAAAGAAGGCGATGTTCGGGGCTTCTAAGGACGATGAGCTTCGAATGGGAGCTCTACAGTTTAATATCGATAAAATGTGATAGTATAGAAAGAAAACATTGCAAAAACAGAAAGTATTACGCTTATAAATTAAATGGTGTTTAGTATACAAATATTAAACGAGAGTAATATAATAATATTTTCCTTATTCAAATTATACGATAAAATTGTTAAAATTTATTGCGATACTTTATTTAAATATCATAAATTATACCTATTTATTATTGAATTCAAGTTCAAATACAGTGCCGAAAATTAACACCCTTAATAAAATTAAAACAAGATTTAATCTCAAATAAACTATACTCTGCGACAACAATATTGCAAGTAGATTGTACCTTGTTTCAATCCAATGTGTTATTTCAATAAAATCTTGCTACGTGCTGCATAGTTTTCAATACACATAGATGCCGTTATACAAGTATTATCGAAAATCATAATTATGATCTGATTTTGCACACATTCGAGATATAGTGTACTTATGGTATTAGAAATGACAAGGACAAAGAACTATTTAAATGCCCTGAAAATTTAAAGTCGAGTCCTTTCCACAAAATAATATATATGTGCCAATAATGCTCGTTGAAGACACAGATGACCTCTTCGCATGCTCAACTAGCACCATTACTTTTTAAACAAGATTCTTAAACGAAGCATTATTTGCAAAATATTCACATTTGCAGCAGAGTTTTCGAAATGACATTATTCGGAGCAAACCCGAAGAAAGATATCTTAATTTCCCATTCCCATTTTACAAAAAGTGCCAGTAAAATAGACTAAAACTTTACCGTAAACACCGACGCGAACGGGCACCTTTTGTTCATGCAATGGCATTTACTAAATTAATATAAAATTAAAACAAAAAAATTAATTAAATACTCAATTTAGTCAACATGCAGGCTGGTTGAAAAGTTTATTTATTTTCTATAATTGAGTAGCATTTTTAAATACGAAAGTCTTGGAAAAAGTGTATCTTTAATTTAAAAATAATAATATTATGCAGTCAGTGACTTGATCAGTATAATAATAATCAGGCCAAATAACAAGTTGTATGAATTAACTAAACTCCGTAAGGATCATATGAGCATTAAACACAATGAAACTATGAAAATGCATGCAACGTCTTTGGATGACCGCAACTTCATATCAACGTGTTAGATATATGCTTCATGAATTGTGATTTTAATTTCTACTTAGCCATTATTTTCTCTAGATCAAGCTCCCGGCATCTTTTTCCTGTTCTCAAATATCAATAGAATTTTTGTTAGAAAGAAAGCCGCAAGACTTATAGATCTTTTAAAGTAAAATACCAATCGTACTAGAAAAATTGTGTCGAAAATTGTAAGATCTCTTTAATCTCTGCATCACCCTAGAATAATAACTACCTGTAATAAATAGCAAAATAGTATTTTGTCAAAACAATGCGCTTTTCTTGCGAACTTTTCCGCCTGCCTATTTCATAATAAAACAAGAAAAAACGTTAACTTCGGTTGTACCGAAGCTATAATACCCTTCACAAATACAAAGGTTCCTTACAAGAACTTGATTTCGATCGTTGAATTTGTATGGCAAGTATATGATAGATTTGATCTTATCTGAACAATTTCTTCAAGGATTACATTGTTGCCTTAGACAATAACCCTTGCCCAATTTCGTGAAGATACCTCGTCAAATGAAAATGTTTTCCATACAAGCAGCATATGCTATAGTGATCCGATCTAAACAATTTCTTTGCATATTTCATTGTTGCTTTAGGAAATAACTCATGCCAAATTTCGTAAAGATATTACGTCAAAAAGTTTCCCATACAAACACTTGATTCCGATTGTCCAGCTTGTATGGCAGTTTATGCTATAGTGGAACGATATCGGCCGTTTCGACAATTGCCTAGCTTTATTTTATTCAGCTAATAATATTGTACCATTAATCGATATTTCAATTCAACAGCATTTGTATAGTACACACAATTAATTTTAAATTCCCATTACTGGAGTTACGTATTTAACAGGGCTTTTAGCTTAATTATCGTCTGCTGTCACGCCTTTCACGTTATTCTAACGGTAGCAATTAGACAAAACTTCAATGCCTTCACATGGTTTCGTCATTTCAAAGTTCATTAGCTCAGTAGATAGTTGTGGAACAAACAGGGAAATATAAAGTAATCAAAACATGAACAGCAGTTCGATTGGTGGCACGGAAAAGCTTCACAAAAAGCATAAATGCAAAATGGTTTTTAAAATAATTGGCGATTATGTAACACAATTTTTAGGCCATACAACACTCCAAGGACTCATTTATGTTGGTAATTCGCAACTGTCCATCTGGGAAAGGTAAAAAAAAATATTCGTATACCACAAAATCTTTTAAGAAAAGCCAACAACTAAAAATAGGGCTTATTTTCTCATCTGGTTTGTGTCTGTTATAACTGTGGCCATAAACTTTGCGACGAATGTCTACACGCGTTGGGAAACGACACCGGTTATTATAGCTTTGGAGGCACATACGACTGAAATACGCACCACACCCTTTCCAGCGATCACTATATGTAACATGAACCAAGCTCTACGCAGCCAAATCAAAAACTTTTCGCAGTAAGGGCCATAAAAAATAATAACGTTCAATTCAGAAATATTTCCTCTTTCTATACAGCGATTCTTTGGGCTATGCCATGACTCAGAAGATTTGCTTTCAAGACGTAGATTACAGTCAGTTCGATGACTTGAAACCCGCTTCAAAGGACGACACATTCATGAATTTCATCTGGCGCGTGGTGAAAACAAACATTGTTTATGTGGAATTTTGCATTTAGTTGTATATTTTTCTCAGAATGGTCAGACGTGCGACAATATGATTGTATATTGCCGCTTTGGTAACAAGGAGGACCGCTGTACTGACTTCTACCGGGAGGTACTTATGGATGAAGGAATTTGCTGTGCCTTCAATATCTTACATCCATCCTATTTATACAAGGGGAAGTCGGTTATTCCCTACTTAGTTATACCTAAAGGTCTAAATTTATTAAAAATATTTATTTATTGTTCAGATATATATTTGTACGTGATTTCACTTCCTCTATTGGCACCATACCTGTAGACTGGAATTCGGAGACTGGTTATGCTGATAACATGCCACTTTACTATTATCCTCGTACCGCCGTAGGTAATAAATAGTTTAGCAGCAAATGATGAAATATTAGAAAAATTAAAAAAAATATATATTATGTGTTTATTCCAGGAGCAGGTGTAACTTTGGGATTTACTTTCGTTCTCAATGCTAACCTTAGCGAATATATTTGCTCTTCAACTTTTAGTACCGGGTTGAAGGTAAGTTAACGCGTTATAATTGTTTTCAACCTTAGATCAAAATGCTTAAGATCATTAGACACCCCTATTATATATCCTTTGTGATATTAGTACACCAGTTGATTTCGATGAATAATACAATAAGAGAGTATTTGTACGACTTAGTCAGTATAGTTGATCTATGACAGTTGTACCTTTGAAAAGCCATACAAATTTTGGCGAATCGAAAATATCTACAGATCTATTTTTAGTCGCTGAAGCCCAATATAACCCCGCGAACAAAATTGACCTCTTCAAATAGTACTTACCTCGGAACTAGCGTGCTTTTTACATCCAAACGCAATTTTCAAAATGAATGGGATTATGTTATAGTGCCTATTGATCATAAATTATAAACTTTTCGTTACTCCAACCACCAGGTGATCACTCACAATCCAATCGATACACCGCACGTTAAAGAGACAGGGTTATCGGTCCAACCAGGTTATCAACACCGTTTTCGATTGAACATCGACAGTTCAAAGGCGCTACCTTCGACTCGTAGTATAACGCCACAACGTCGCCAATGTCTCTTCAATAACGAACTGGAATTGTTATATTTCCGTTACTACACACGACGCAATTGTGAGATGGAATGTGATTCCAAATATTTTTTACGTCGCTGTCAGTGTATTCCATACCACATGCCACTCATCTATCAGAACGCTAGTGTATGCCATGTGAAAGACTTTAATTGTGAAAGTATTGCCGAGGCGGAGGTCAACGATGAGCAGCATGTGTCTTGTAAGCGTGAGTGCCTACCGGGGTGTTTTAATTTGGAATACTTTCCAACGGTCTACCGGACACCATTGGCGAACACTTCTTTTGTTTTTAAAGATAAGTTCTTTGGAAATTTTACAAAGAAAGAGATACACGAAAACTTCGCTCTAGTGCAAGTATACTTCGCCGATGATTTGTTTAGGTCCAAGGTTAGATCACCGTACACCAGCTTTACGGATTACCTCTGTGAGTTGATTGGTATCCAATGTTAGTAATGTTAAATACCTAGTTAAGAGTTCCCTTTTCTTCTTGATATAGCACAAACTGGTGGCATTATGAGTTTGATGGTTGGTTTCGGGGTTATATCAGTGCCTGAGTTCTTTTACTTCTTCTTCATTCGACCAATGTTCGATTTAATTTTGAAGCGACTACCATGTGCTGTGCGCCAAGTGACTGCAAGGAAACTTCGAAAAGGTGAAAATGGAAATAGACTTCTGTTTGAAGATAAGGTATGAACATATAAAATGTAGATTTCTAATAATTGTGCTGTTGCCATAAAGTGATTTCTATTATCTGCAGCATCCACATTTTGCGAGAATGCCGTTCGCCACGAGCCGTCGGCCTTTGAAGCCTTTTAATGGTTATAACAGCAAGAAGGTATACAATAGCTTAATGAAAAAGATGCCAATACAAAGGGAGCAACTTTTAAATATCGACATGGAGAAGGCAGGTTTGTTCCCGTACACGGAATGAACCGTTGATACCTTTCCGCTGCGTATCCTCTTTTTATTCCCCACTTGTTTGAAAACAACACATACGCTATCCCCGAAAGTTTTGAGAAGAAGCTCTGATTTCCGAATATAAAATCCGTTAACACCATAGCTGAAATTATCAGGAACATCTCTAAATTACGATAAACTTAATTATTATTTGAAATTAAAACAAAGTTGAAATCTGATGAGTCATTATAACTGTAATCAGATGCTTTGAAATTTTAAAATAAGATTCGGCAGATTGTCAAGTTTTTTATATCCTAAACAGGGTATGTTAAGTTTGCAACACATTGTAACACTAAGAAGGAAAAATCGGAGACTCTATAAAATACGTATATAAATGATCACCATGATGAACTGAGTCGATTTAGCCATGCCCGTCTGTCTGTCTGTCCCTTATTTTTTCAGAATTCGATCAGAAATTTTGCACCTGTCATTTTCTCACCAAAAAACTGCTCATTTGTCAGAACGGATATCCGTTATCGGACCACTATAGAATATAGCCGCCGTACAAACTAGACGGTCAAAATCAAGTCTTTGTAATTGTTTAATTGAAAATATATCTTCACGAAATTTAAAATGGATTCTTATCTAAGGCAATGCTACAATCTGCGAAGAAATTTTTATGAAGGCTATTAGCTTTGGTGCAACCGAAGTTTTTTTCTTGTTACTAGTTAGTTTTAATTAGATACAAGTATATTTGGAAACTTAATAAAGCTTGTTAGACATGTATCCAAATGTTTGAGGTTAATCTTAGTAATTAATTTCACCTGTTTTTGTAGGTCGCAGTATTAATACTATATATGAAGCTTTTCAGACAAATTGCGAGAGCATTTAATGTTTAGTAATGTTTAAATGGCTGAACTTTAGGCAATAAGCTGAAAATCGTTCTTTCCACGCTTTGTGTGCTCGTATACAGTTATTATACTCGTTTTTACTGTTACTACTAGTTTTATTCTGATAAATTTAGGATAAACATGAACTTTTGGTCTTTCCATCAACTTTTTCTGGTAAGGCCATATTTTCATTTATCAAGTGTCCCACATGTCACAGTTTAACCGGGAGTACGTATGTATACCATAAAAATCCCTAATTAATTAGACCTTATTTTGTAGGTCACATTATTAATTCTACTTGAAGCTTTTAATTCAGACAAATTGCGAGAGCATTTAATGATCAGGAACATCACATTTAAATGGCTGACGTTTAGGCAACAAGCTGTAATTCGATTTGTTCTATCCACGATCTGTCTGCTCGTATACAGGCATACTTATTTTTAACTGTTATTCCTAGTGGGACAAGAACGTTGTCAATATTTGATCTTATAATCTACTTTTTCTGGCAGCGCCATATTTTTCATTTATCAAGGTTTCAAACCTACAAAGCTTTAGTCTTGTTGAAAGCTCTCATAATAATGCCTATTTTAACATTAACTTTAGCAACCCAGATGGGTTCGAACGACGACAAAACTTGTTGGATTCATTCAAAGTCTATTAAATTAGAGAACTTAAAACAAGCTTTAAGTTCTCTGATTAAATACTTGTAGTTCATTTGATTTCAGTCATTGTATAAGCTTACATATCAACATTTAATAATATTTCAATACAATAAATTATGATTTAAATAATACTATGTAAATTTAATCTTTAGGAATTAAAACAACCGAAAAATATTTGAATATGGAATAAAAACATTCTTAAAGTTATAAATTTTAAAACATAACACGGCAACACACAATAGCAGATTTCTGTCATTTGGACGTTTTAGTAATAGAATATGGTTGGCAGCCCGTACAAAGTGTGCCTTTAGTGCACTTTTACACAGGGACTCAAAAGAGTCTCAAACCAGTTTACTTTGGGCGAGGGGACGACGAGGAAAGACGAAGGGACCGTGCCACGCCTTGTGTTCTTGTTCGTAACAGCTCGCTGCTACTTTTTTCAGCATTCTTTTTCACTTTCAAATTCTTTGAATGGTTGCAAGAGCGCTCGGTTTCAAATGAATTCGATCGCAAATTTGTGTTCTGTTATCTATTTTTGTATGTAATATGCAAATATGTATGCATAGAATAATAGAAATATTATGACTAATTGTAAATAAGGAGAAAATTAAGATATAGATTATGGAGTAAAGAAATTATGAATTTTTAATACTTAAAGATTAGGAAATTCCTATTATAAATGTGGCCTTGAAAATATTAGTAGCGGATATTCAATACATATTTGTGGATTAGGGAATTCCCGTCTTTAGTATTTCTTTGAAACTATTTAGCGGGTAGGTACTTGTATTATGCATATTGTTCTATCATATTCATGGTAATTCATTGCAAGCAAAATGTGTGACCATCATCTCAACATACAAATGAAATACGCAGCACGCAGTGTTGTGCAGTGTTGCGCAGTCGAACCGCACAAATATTTGTGAAAAGGAATGCAGAAAAACTAGACTCGAGTTGCTGGACTCTTTTTTACCGTGTGAATGCACAGAGCGACACCAAAAGAAAATTTTAAAAAATGAGACTCTTTTGAGTCCCTGTGTAAAAGTGCACTTAGTAGCAGAATATTGGTTGGCATCCCGTACCAAGTGTAATTTTAGTAGTAGAATTTTTGAGGCAACCCGTACCAAGTGAGATATTTTTGCGTGTGTATTAGTGAAAATCTTAGGATTGGTTACTTGTAGATTTATACAATGATTTCAGTTCACTAGCAACTTTCGAGTGATTCGTTTGTTTATTTTTTTTTTATCGGTAAGGCATTTAGTTTTACGTCAATTGATGTCTAAAAGAAATATTAATTTTTGCCGCTTTGTTGTTTAATTGAAAGTAATTCTTATGGGTAGTAATATTTACTATGTCTATCTACCGGTTTTAAGTCACTCAATTTGAACTAAAAATGTAATTTGTGTGTGTGTGCCTGTGTGATTGTGTATGAGCTGCGGACGAACTAGCATGAAAGAAAACGTAGATAGCTCTTTATATGCAACAACAACAGAATAACAAAGAAGTAAAGAAAAATGTGGAAAAGATAAAATATTGCGATTGTTCTTTGACTATAAGCCGTATATATATATACCTACATATATGTATGTATTAAGATAATAATAATTCTGTGCAATAAAACGCTCTAAGTGAAGCTCAGTGCGTGTGTGTTTCCATTGTTAATACAACTGGTATTATTTTTATTTCTATCTAAACGCTATATGAAGTTTATTCACACTATTGTGGGTGTACATACATACCATTAGTTATTGGAATACCCAACCACTACAATCCAACTAACGGACAAATTTTCCACATACGTCTGCGGGACTTTCACTGCAACTGAAATACATTTCTGCTAATTGGAAATGTAAGTTTTTCACTCGCAGCCGCTTATGGCTCTTACCACTCGTTTACTGCATCAAGGTCGCATGTAAACTCACAATACGTCGGGAGTGTGTGTGAATTGCTCCATCTGCAAAGTTCCACACAGTTTGAAGGCCACTGTTCGTGATCGTATGAAAATATCTTGAAATATACTTATTTATGTACTTATATGTACATAATATTATACCTCCATATACATATCTACATATATACATTGCGGAATAATCAACATTTGCTCGCTAACGTGTAAGGCAGTCTATGTTAGAGTACCTTTGATAGGTGCAATGTACATTCCCGCTATATTGAGATTAGTTCACATTTCTATGCTTGATCAGTTGTGTTTAGCTTTATTTATATCTTCTTATTTTAACCATCGACAACTTACCTGAGACAGCATATTCGTGTTTTCTCTCATCACATGACTCTGACTGAATTCACTGCCAGTTTATTTGCCCACCTCTATTTCGCATCAATTTTTATTGACTGTTTATTCATATTAGTGTACATATACATATATAAAATGTAGTTCATATCAATTTTTATTCACTACGTTAGTTAGTCATATTAGCATATTATTAGAAAACTGTTTAATGTTTATAGAAAACTTAAAATTAAAAATTTAATTAGTAATTATCTAAATACCAATCCGAATAACACATTAGCTTTCAAATTAAAGTATGTAAATTTTTATCACAATCTTCTCCATAAATTCATTTGTAGCAGAAGCGGGCTTGTTTACCAAAACCTATGTTCTAGGCTACAGAACTAGCCATAATAGTACGTAGATAAAAGTGAATATACAATAGTTTACTTAAGGATTTAGCTACGGATGGGGATTACTGTCATGAACTTTTCTCCTATGAAAATTTGGGCAAAAGCTGTGAAACCGGTGAAGTCCAAAACCAGTACTTTTACCTCAAAATTAATACTTAAAAGTAGACTAGAAAAGATGGTAACATACTATCACATAACTTAAATTTTTTTGGGAGATATAAACAATTGTCAAGAGCATTAAGCCGTACCTAACCGACATATGGTAAATATTATAATGTATTAAATATCTTTAATTTGAGTTATCAATCCAGACATTAACTCAAATATATAAAAAGCACACTGCACTCGTCAAATTTTCTTTTTTATAGATTGGTACAATAATAACTGATTATAGTACAGTAACTACTTTTCAAGGATAATCCAACTTTTATAGAAAGCGGTATCATCTGAACCGATCTTGATAGTGTTTTTAAGTTCGGTTTAGGTTATAAGAAAATTAAATATTCAAATAAAGCGGTTCAAAAAAACTTAAATAGGAAAATATTTTATAGAAGTTCAACACTGTTGCATAAAGTTTTTCTTTAATCTTTTCATTGTAGAAGATCCATAATCGCTTTTAAGCACTTTGACACTTTCATTATATTTTAAAAATTGCATTCAAAAAGCTCTTATGCTTGCCGATAAAAACGAGCACATTAACATTATTTAGTTTATAATAAATATAGATGGAATTTACTGTTTTAGCCAACGAATAGTCGATGACCTTTTAAGTAATTTTTTACTATAATATAGTTCTCGAATTATTGAAATAATAAAGTAAAATATTTCAATTCTATATATAATAGATGGTTCTAAATTTAAAACTATAGAGCACAATTTTTTAATGGCGATCGATGTAGGAAAGATTCTAATGAAAACTTATCAAATTTCAAATCAGTTTTCTTGAAAATCTCTTTACCAAGAACATCCTTGTAGTATGTACATATATTTTAACAGATGTAATAACAGCGCCAACTTCAATTCAAAATTAAAAGTTAAAAATGAAATGTTCGAATTCCAGCTAATATTTATGTCGTGTAACACTATTTTCAATATTCCAATGTTTTCAGTACCTCCATTATCTTATTATTATTAATTATATTAATTCTTATTATTATTCTTTTTTATTATTCTTGTTTCTTATTATATACATTTTATTTTGTTATTGTTGTAAATCTCGTTAGTAAATGTTTAAAACTGACTTTACCAAGT